CTCTTCCTTCTCAGGTTCGTTCTCACAGCAGTCAGGCAGTGGGAGACACAGGTTCCCAGAGAGGGCCCCCTGCTATCCTGTTGCCCCCTCTGTCCCCTTTCCCTGGGCTCCTCAGGCCCTGCCAACAAAGACGTCACAAGGCCATGAGGGAAGCAGGTAGGAGCCCTTCACAGAGACCCTGAGCAGCTGCAGGGATGACAACCATCTCCCGCCCCCCCCCACATGCCTCGCTGGCCAGGGTTCAAGTGAGGGTGCCTCACCTCCCACCACGACTCTGGCACCAAGCGCCACCAAAGCCAGACTGCCTCCCTCCTGGGGCGAGGGGGTGGGGGGGGATGGAGGAGGGGACGGACCACAGCCTGGAGCTGCAGGGCAGGACCTCAGAGCTCAGCTCCAGGCCTGCAAAGACAGAGGCAGCTACCCTGAGGTTCCATCCTGGGTGTCATGGGCAGCAGTGTACGTGCCTTTTCCTTAAGTCTTTTGGAGTTGGTGTGTCACTCACAGCCAAGCAACAGCAGCTTCATCCCCAGCTCTCCTGTCCCATCTTTCCTCCCTACCTCCAGGGCCGGAGGCCCGATTCTGCCCAGTCCCCAAAGGAGGGAAAGTCAGACTAAGCTCTTGGTGGCCTCAGATGCTGCTTTGCTCACACCCGGCCCTGAGCACTCAGGAGGCACCGGGAGCTGGCTTGGAATGTCATGGGGGTAGAAAAAGACAGGGAACAAAAAAAGAAAAATTTACATTCGCATATTCAAATGAGCTCCCTGCAGAAAGAAAGCAAATCTCAGTTCCTCTGAAGAGGGGGCGCAGCGCTGGCCCAGGACCCGTACAGGTGCCTTGGCTCTAACAGACAGGACAATTGTCCTGCACTAGCCCTGGGCGGCCTTGCTCCCCCCCCCCATGTCCTCATTAACAGCCATGTCCCCACGCAGCAGGGACAGAGCGCTGTGGGGGCAGCCCTGGGCATGCCATCGGCTTGAGAGAGACACCGGAGGGCGAGCAGCTGCAGCGGACGCACAGGGAGATGGGACGGCATCCTGCCTCAGGCATGGCAGCTCCAGTCTGAGTTTGTCTCCTGAGTGTCCAGTCAGCGGTTTCGTCACAGCTCCCCACGGTCTGTCTCAGTGTGGTGATGTCTCCTTGAAGTGTTGGGGCCCAAGCTGTGATGTGGCCCCTCTTCTACCTACCATGCCTCGTGTTGGGTTAAAGACACCTGGAGCCTGGCGGGTCTGCTGCCCTGCTGCCTGCACCACCCCCACCTGGATTCTTGGAGTCCTGCAGGGCAGCGTCTGGCCTCGTGGGTTGGGGCTCCTGCATCCTGAGGCCTGCTGCCCACAGATGCATGGCAGGGGAGATCCCAACTGGCCTGTTGCCAGGGACCACTCCAGCCCTTCCTTTGTGGTATCTCTGCCTGTGGACCAGGACCCCGTGGCCTCCAGAGGGCAGGGCAGGCCCTGTGGGCTGGTGACCAGAGGCCACACCCCCCCATCCCCGCAGTAGGTCTAGCTCAAGGACAACAGAGGGGTCTCATGTGGGTGGCTGGTTCCCAGCAGGTGCAATTCATCCTCCTTGGGCAGTGTTCCCCCTGTGGAGCTCAGTGTCAGCTCATGCTGGTGATGAGACCTTCAGAGGTAGCAGCAGCAGTGTGGAGGTCGGCACTCTTGGGCTTCCGGTGTGGTCATTGCACTCGTGCGGTCACACCAGTTCTGGGTGGCCGATGATAGGCACTTTCTAATGTCACATCTTCGTGGTGGATGCTTCTGGTGGGTGTTTGTGATGCAAAACTGTCATGCTGGTGCCCACAGCCACGTGTCCATCCACATGGTGCAGGCCCACGGCTTCTCATCCCCACTACCCATCCTTCTCCTCCCAGGCCTCTGACCGGCCCACCTGGACATCAACCATTGCCCCTGAACCTATGTGTGCTCTCCCTGCCCTTTTCTTTTTTCACACAGTGCATAGCAGATCGCCACTCCTGGCAACCGAGTGCCCCAGGACAAGATGCTTGTGGGCGGTCATGGAGACCTGCTTCCTCCAACCACACTACCTCAGCCATGCCAGGTCCCAGCACTGAAGTCTCCAGGCTCCTGTCCAGGGAGGCCAAGGCCCCACATGGGTGTGGTCATGCTGGCACGCTTGCTGGCCTCAGGCAGGGGGTCTGTTGTGTGGCCACAAAAAGTGTGTGCTTGTGTGACCTTGTGCAGGAGGCCTGCCAGCTCTGCCTGGGTGGTGGGTCTGGCCCACCCATGGGGCAACGGGGCTGGTGAGGCCGGGCTCATGAGTGCTCACACTGGCTGAAAGGGGGCACTCATCACCACCCACCAGGGTCATTATAGGCCTCTGGGCCAACCCAGGCCCTCCCTTCTCTTGGTGGCCTCCATTTCAGAAGACCCTGAGGGTCAGAGAAGTCACACAGCTGAGTCCCCACTGCCAGGGGGTGAACCCTGAGTCTACTTCCTGTGAGGGGGCAGCGAGAGGCCCCGCAGGATGTGAGTATCCCAGTGCAGTCACACTGGCCGCCCTCATGGGTGATAGACATCCATCTTTACCATGGCAGAAGGCTGCAGAGGCGGGTCCCTGGCCAGATGCTGCCTGGGTGGGATACCTGCCTGTGGCCCTGGGCACCAGGAGCAGCTGAATTCCGGGGCCACCTCAGTAGAGCCACAGAACCACTGTGGGGCAGGTGTGGGCTGAGCCGCCTCCACCTGCTCCTGGACAGAGAGACCACTGGGAAACTCCCTCTGCCAGGATCGGGTGGCCCCAGGTAGGTCCTGCCTGGGCTCTCTGAGATGGGCAGCAGGAGGAGAGCTTTGGAAACCTGGAGATAGGCGGGGGGGGGGGAACAGCTAGAGGAGCTGAGACCCCTTATCCTTGGTCCTGCATGGGGTCCCAGTGTATCTTTCCCACTCCAAGATGGGGACACTGAGGCTCCAAGCAGTCGGTAAGAGAGCCAGGCTCCCTCGAACCCCCACCCAGGGAGCACCATCTGACTGGAGCCAGCCTGGTCTTGCCTTGGAGGGGCAGGGCCTGGGAAAGGGCCCACAGCAGAGGAAGCCGCTGGCAGGCACAGAAACAGTGAGGCAGAAGCCCCAGGAAGGCTCGAAGGACAGGTTCCCCACCCAGCTCCAGGGAACTCACCACCCTGACCCCAAGGTGCTGGCCTGGCACAGCCCTTATCTCCCAGCACCTCACCTGCAAGTTGGGGTAGGGTGTGGGGAAACAAGGTTGGGGGCTGCAGAAGGAGCAGGGTGTGCAGGAGGGTGAGTTCAACCAGGAAGTCAGAGAGGGCACTGGGAAGAGGACTTGGGAACCAAGCCTCTTCTCCAGAGAGGGCTCCTGGAAGTCACAGGATGGTAGGTGGTGGGGGCTGGGCTGGCAGCTCCTCTGTGCAGCCAGCCTGGAGGACAAAGAGGATCCCAGTTCCTCACTCCCCAAAGTTTCTGAAGCGCCACCTAGGGTGAGAGGGAGGGGCAAGTCCTCCCAGGATACCTGCATGGGCTGCACTGGGGTTCAGTCTGCCGCCTCACCGCCCCACCCCAGAGACAAACATCTCTGTCTCTTTGGAGGCATCGCGGATGCGCTGCCAGCGACAGCGCAGAGCGCAGCTTCCCTCTCCTTAGGCTGCTCCTTCCCTGTCTGCTCTCTGATGTGTCTCACTGTTAGGTCCCCAGCCTACCGCTGATGGCTGCTGCCCGGGTCGTGGGAGTCTGTGTGTCTGAGTGTGGGTGTCTGTCTGTCTGTCTGCTGTGAGTGTCGGCTGGATCCGTCCCTGACCCTGTGCTTCTGAGCGCGTGTGTCTGGGGGTGTTCCCTCCTGCCTCTCCTCCTCCGCCCCTCCCACAGGCGCTAACACAGCCGAGCCCTGGCTGCGCCCCGAGTGCAGTGACCTCGTCTGTCTGCTGCAGCGGCGGTCGACCCCACGCTGCCCGCTGGGGGACTCCGTGATGGGCTGAGCTGCTTGCCGCTGGCCCCTTGGCCTGGGGCCACCTGACCCCGATGGGCTCGCTCCTCTCCTGGCTGGTCGCTCCGGCTCTGTCTTCCCTTATGTAACTCCACATCTGCCTTTGCGTGCAGGTCACTCTGGAACCCGCGCTGGGCTCTGCCCACAAGGAGCCTGAGACCCAGGGTTCTATGCACAGGGGAGAGGAGAGAGTGGACCCCTACTCTGAGCACTCGCTCCCGGAGACCCCCTTCCCAGCCCTTCCCCAGTGGTTCCTCTCCCTAGAGATCCGCGTTCCCGGAGCGTGAGCTAAGCAGGGGCCCCGCGGGGCAACTTCCCCGGAGCACCGGAGCAGGCGTACCCCCAGCCCACCCCAGGTCCCCACAGGCGCCCGGGCGCCCCACGAGTGTCGGTCAGGGGTCGCCAGGGCCGTCAGCCCAGGGAAGGCCGAGCAGCCCGGGGCCG